GTTTTTTTTTTTGTCGTTCACACCTGTTTCTGGAAAAAGAAAATCAAGCTCCATACTTTGGAGCTATGGATGCATTATAAGAGTAATGGCCAAATCCAATTATTTGATTAAAAAGTAGTCCAAATTAGTAGTGGGTTATGTTAATAAGCTACTTTCCTTATTATAAAGAAATTATAAACTCTTATAATTACATATAAGAGTAATGGCCAAATCCAATTATTTGATTAAAAAGTAGTCCAAATTAGTAGTGGGTTATGTTAATAAGCTACTTTCCTTATTATAAAGAAATTATAAACTCTTATAATTACATATAAGAGTAATGGCCAAATCCAATTATTTGATTAAAAAGTAGTCCAAATTAGTGGGCTATGTTAATAAGCTACTTTCCTCTAGTTTACTGCTTCAAATTGAAAATAGCAGACATGGGAATTAAAGAATGCATTTTGCTTGAAAATTGATGGTTTGTTTTGGCAGTACCAGGTTATGCATATATTGATGCATTATATGGAAAAAAATTAGTTTATTATTATTTTTTACAAGCATTTTCAGTAAAAGCATGAAATAACTACCTGCCAATCGTGAATGGGTAATACTAAAGTAAGAAAAGCAAATTCTTTTTCTCTTGTCCGGTGTGAGAATCCGTTTTGGGTTTGGAACTAATTGCCTGAATTAAACTTTTTTTCTTGTTCATGCAGTTGGGCAGCCGTAAAATTGAACACCAAGAAGGTGTATTAAGATTCTCGTAGTGTTGTTTGTCAATGCATTTATTTTAGGCCTTTCCATATTTTACACCGAGTGTTATCTAATGGAAGTACAAGAACTAGCCGTGACATTCTGATCAAATGTATCCGAAATGATTTTATGTAAAAAAAAACTGGTATGCAATAATTATATATGTGTGTCTGCAATTATTTCTGCCTTTCTAAAATTCTTAATGGTAATATTTGTTGCAATGTATTATTTGAAGACAAAAAAAATCACTACAAGTAATAGTTTTATGCATTAAATGAGCTTGCAATTATGCTTATCAATCTATACATAAAAATAATAGAAAATTTTTTAAACATTATAGGGAGAATTTTTTTCATTTTCTTTCTTTTAAAGAAAGAAGATGTAAATTATTTTAGTGTTACATAATTAATTTACATACTTTTATCTGTAGGAGCTAAAGCAGATGACCCTTCCAGGCTATCATTTGAGTAAGCTAGGTGAATACTACTATCTTGTGGTAGATCCTGAGTCTGAAGAACACATGCATCGTCCATTTGGATCTCTTGTACCTCCACTGGGTCTTGCTAGCAGGGACTTGAGGATTCCACAGCATCCACATAGTGATGACAATACAGTGCTGAAGAAGGCTAGCTGGGATTTACAGAATCTAGTACTTCCTCTTTTGGATCAGAATTTCAACAGGGGACTGTTGAGAAGACAAAACAAATCTGGTGAAACGGAGGATGATAACCAGATTATGGGAATGCCACCGATATTGGACAGGCTAGATACTGATCATAAATGTGTTGATTCTGTTAATCAAGCAATCAGAGATGAAGACAAGGGTACAGAAACTGAAGAAAATGAAACCACTGATTTAACCCGATCACGGCCAGTGAGAAAAGTATCTTCCAAAAACCTGAAGGATAAGTCACATAGTGCCTCAAGGTCTGCATCAGTTGCACCAGAAGAGTCTTCAGCTCAAAGTGCTTCAAGGTCTACATCAGTGGTACCTGGAGAGTCTTCAACTATGGTTTCTGAATCTGTGTCAAGTGACAAGATAATATTTCATGAAACAGGCATAACAGAGGCTCCTGTTATTTTCTCCCCAGAAATAACATTTATAAAGGTATTTGAAAATCCTTTTATTTTATATAATAATTATTCGCTTTTTTCTTAAATAGATGATTTCATTGATTGTTCAAGTAAACACTGTTGGCAGTCATGAGGAAAAACTATAATATTTAGTGGTTTAAAGATAGTAGATAAACGAGTTACAGTATATGTTTCAAAATAAGGTTAATTTGTTTTGCTAATACATTTTTAATGCCTTCACACCAATTAAAGAAAAAAAAAAACAAAGTTAAAGGATTGCTTATAACTTTTACTTTGTCTTTTATTTATTAATAACTTAAAGATGAAAAAAACAAAGTTAAAGGATTGCTTATAACTTTTACTTTGTCTTTTATTTATTAATAACTTGAAGATGAAAAAAACAAGTCCTGTGTGTTATGCCTAAAACTAGCTTAGCTTATGTTATGCTTAATTTAGTATAAAGCTTTGCAGTGAAAGCTTTGGCTTCATGACACAGGTTTAACCTAAAGTTTGATAAAATTATAAAACATCATTTTTTAGGTTTACTAAACAATCATTTTATCTTTGAGTTAATTTATATCTGTTATTATAAGAACCATGTTAATGATGAACTGAAGCTCACATGCAGTATATAAGAAATGCAGAGTAGTTTTGAAGAAGTTTTAATTTTGAAGTTTAAACTTAGATATGATTTTTGCTACATTGGACTAGCTAATGGTCACATTGAAGAACTAATTATCTACTAGTTGTGTATTTGATAAAGCATCATCTTATATTGTTGCTATTTAAGTTGTTTTCAAACTTTTGTTATCACATTCTGAAAAAGCATGTTGAATAAAAACTTTTATGTGTTGTAGCTGTAAAATCATATGAAATTTGTATTAATTTTCTATGTTTTGCTGCAGAACAAAAATGAATTAAAACCTGGAGAGCAGCTGCCAATTTTACTCGGTGCAGTTGATAGTGTTACCAGTGGCAGTGCTATTCGAGATAGGTCTGACAGCATTAATTCCTTCACTGGTGAATCCCATCCTGTTGAGATTCCTGGAAATCCTGCTCATCCAGCAGTACAGCAGCTACAGGGAACACAGGATTCCTTACGTTCCACTCCAGTTTTGTTCCATGATGCTGAAATCTCCAGTTTTATTGGTAGTGAACATGTTAGCAATACTGAAGATGGTAAGTTGGAGCTTTTTTGGTAACAAATCTAAGTGTTACATTATAGAAGACAACAATTAATGTTAGTACTACTTAAAAATCAAGTAAGAATTTAAAACTTCAGAAAAACTATTTTTTATAAATTATGTAATTTTGTATTATTGTAAACAAAATTTGCATTTCATAGACTCAAATGTGAAGAAGTATTTGAATTATATTTTTAATATAATTAAAATAATAATTAATATAATAAAATAATAATAATTAATATAATAAAATAATAATAATATAAATAATGCTAGGTTCTTGTATTTGACAATTTTAATATTCATTGTTATTGCAAAATAATTATAGAAAAATTAAAACAACATTTTAATAACTTTGACATTAAGCAGTATTTCGGCTGTATTAAATAAAAATACTCGATAAGGACAGAGTATAATTAATTTTTCGTACTGTAAGTCATTTCTGGGTTACATTTACTATATAAAGATCATCTGAATTTCACTTCACATTGTGTGTTTCATTAATAGATTGCTACTTATTGAATATTACTTCAATATTATCAGCTACTTAATCATCCAATATACACTTCAGCATGTATTCATTTTATTACTAATGATATTTGCTTAGGTTATGAGGGGGACAGTAGTGATTCTGCTAGTGACTGGGATTGGTTGAATGCTCTTGACACCAGACGTCCTCTTATGCCAAGATTTTGGTTTATTCTGAAAGTTCTACAGGATTGTGTTTATGTGTACTGTCATATACGGTTAGTATATAAAATAAAATGTCCAATACATACAAGTTTTTGCTTAATCTTTTTCTGTTAAACCTAACTCAGAAATGGTTAAACTTTTTTTTTTGTACAATAAATTTATAATGTACAATCATTAATAGAAATGTTATCAAATTTCAATATTGTGATGTGTTTCAGGTTTTGTTTTAGAATTGAAGCTTATATGTTCGTAATTCGAGAAGAATTTAGTGGTAATGTGGGTTAGAAAGCTGGGCATATAATTTTATGATTATTATATTAATTTAGTACTGGGCACCTATTAGCGTAATGGTAAGTCTGGGGGTTTATAACACAAAATTAAACTTTGATGGGCAGACTACATGGTGAACTTTGTGCTTAACAACAGAAAAAAAGATTTAATACTATATATCAGGAGCTACTACAAGTGAGTTATGTAACTTTTGAAAGTTTTTTTCCTTCAAATTATTCTATGAATTATGTGTTAAGTTAAAACATTATTATTATAGTACAAATAATAGAAAATATTATATATCTAAACTTTATGTGTATTGGAATATTTTGACTTTTCATACCTTGATCAAAATGTTGTTCATTAAAACATTAAAAAAGCATGTATGACAACAGAAAATAATGTAATGAGAAGAGAAAGTTCTAAAACCATACAATTTTCAGAAGGTGGACCTTTCTTTTTCATGCTCACTTTCAAAAAGCCCCCAGATTTAGGTTTCCTTGTCAGTATTTTTATTTGATGCATTCCTCTGTTATGTTAAAATGTTTTGAACCATACACTGCTGTAGACCATATATAAAGTCAACATAACTGTGCAAGTACCCTCATTTGGTTTTTAAGACTTTATAGTAGCAGTTAATAGTATAGGATAGTGAAGAGGTTTGATGTATTTTTGATAGTCACAGAGAACAAGAAGATGATGAGCTTCGGCAGTGTAAGGAGATTTTTTCACAAGTTGTACAGATCATTAAAGATATATGCAAGGTTGTCAACCAGGTAAATATTTGAATGAAATGCCATGTTATGTTAAGTATTATATTACTCGCATGTTTCAAGTAAGATGTACAGTAAAATTTGTCTTACAGCTGGTGAGACATGTTGCACTTGAACTGTTAGTGTATCCAGATGTTAATAAATTTGAATACATCTATTGTTTGCTAATTAATGCATAGGAACAGCTTATATTTGAATATAGTGAATATTTGATATTTTAAAACATGGAATTTATTTGTCAGTATACAGGGTTTATGATTAAACATAAATGAAAGATTTTCTATTTAATATCTGAATGTACAACTTATTAATGTGTAAACATTAATTAAATCAATAATTAGTAAATATATCTAAATGGCTTATGTTTATTACTGACGTTTTTGTTAAACATGTAACCGTAGAATGTATTTTACTATCATTTTTGTAATAAATTAATTCATTAAGAATATTTTAATTGTTAAGTAAACAATAAACACACACAGCATGTATGTAAACTACCCCAAATAAAAGTTGATAAGTATATTTTCTTTAACTTGTGACAGTTTGCAGGAAATGTCATTTACTTCTTGGTAATATGAAACTTTTAACACTTAAGTGGTTAATGATTTCCAAGGTTTACTCAATTTGATCACTTCAGAGCTATTTTAGCAACTAATAACTTGAGTTATTGCATATACAGTATTCTTTTTATATACTGCTATTTGAAGTTGAAATACATTTATTCTGTCTTTATTTATTTATTTCTATAGCAATCTGAATAGCATGGTTCTCTAAAGTTTAATGATGCTGTTTAGGGAGAGGAATTTTGTTTGGAAACTAATATTTGTGTTGTGTAGTGTAGTATGTTTACTTCTAAAACATTTATTTTGAAAGAATTACTTTATTTTTACTTATTCCAGAATATTGTTCTTATAAAATTACAAAAAAAAAAACAACAAAAAAAAGTAATTGAAATGAATAGACAAACATTTTTGTTTTCTGATAATTCCTGTAGTGTGTGTATAAAATAAGATAGTAGTAGTCACAGATATGTGACATTAATTACTTTACCTATGGACTTTTATTTTGGGTTGGCAGATCATTATAAAAGGAGCATAACTAAGATTTCAGAGAATGAAGTCTTATGTTAGATATTACATTTATTTGAACTTGCACTATTACATATTACCTTTTTTTTTTCAAGTCATTAATATTTTTTGTATTATCACAGACTCTTCTTCTTCAAGACTTGCATGAATCACGTATGTGTAACCAGTTGCTGGTACCAGAAGCTAGTGAAGACATATGGAAGCATGAAGGAGGATTATTATCCTCAGGAAAAGTATCTCACATGTATGGGCATAGTATCTTTGGAGCAGATGGTAGGTATACCTTTTACTATTTACACCATCTGTATGTGAAATTCTATTACCACTCTTACAAAAGTATCATACAATTTTAGTTTGTGCATTATTGATGGGTGGCTTTTTTTACAATCATCTTTTATAAGTAATTTATAAATGTTTTATCTGTTTACAGTTTCAATAGTTATTATCAATTTTAACCTAACTTCGTAGAACATGATGCACCAGAACAACAAAGCTACTTAGAAGCTACCATGAAGTTCATGCCTGGAACATTTGATTGTGGAATTGTTTGGGAAACTCACTTCACTCTTCATCCTAGGTTGAATACAGGACCAGGTCACACTGTTGTTTCAAGAGGTACACTGAAGGCTTTGAAAATTATATTAGTCAAATACAGTCGGTGTTTGTTTCAGGTCTCATTTATACTGTTTTAAATGTAACTTTAGTAATAGGCATAACTTAAAGATGATTTATCATTATAACATTTCTGAAGGTATAAATATGTCAAAATCCCCAATTTACTCAAACTAATAAGCTTTAGTATTTCAGTTAAAAAAATATATAACTTATAATTAATCACGTAACAGTGCTAGAGAACATTTATAATGGAGTTCTTTACTAAAGAAATATTAAAGTTTATCAGGAAAATTAAACTATATTAATTACAAAATATAGTGCCATCAATACAGTTTTTTTTTCTTGATTGAATTTTGAAATAATATTGATGTTATGCAGTGATCTTAATTGTGAAACAAAAAAGGAGTTATAATTACAGGGTTCAAACTAAGCTAAAATTATTTTTCAAAATCAATAATTAAGATTAAAAGAACAGGTTAAAAATGATTAGAATATATTGTTTAATGCCCTTTTTTTTTAAATTATTAATCATACAATGCAGTACATGTAGTAAAATATAATTGTGTTGACAAAAGTAGTATGTCCTGTGATAACCCTAAGGTCATAATCCTATGGTAAATGGAAATAGTGTTTGCACAGTTTTATTTTACAATTTGTATTTATTAAAACATGCACTTAGATATTGTTTTCTCTACTATTACATTATGGATGTAAAGTGCTTCTTTCTGGTCCTTGTGTTATATTATTATTTACCCATTCTCCCACCTTCCAAATCTGAAATTTGAATTTGTGTGGAATAGGGATCCGAGCTCTCCGGGCAGTGCTGAATACATTTTCTGTCAATAATAGGAAGAATATGTTTGTATATCAAGAAAGATCTGGATCTGTATTCTATCTGAGGTTTGTTAATGTTCATTTGATGTGTAACTCATTCTTTCTGAGACACTTGCTCATAATATTGTGTTCATTAAAGCACACAAATTATTGATTCACTTTTGAATGACTAGTGATAACTATCTTGGATTAAAAAAAAATGTCTAATCAGGTAAAGCATATACTGTAATTTTTGTACTTTTTGATATGTTTTTTTAATTAATTTTTTTCTGGATATAAATTAACAGTTTTCATTGTTTATGAACCTATATAATCAGGTATTTTAAATATGTGGTTATAGTTCCTCAGTTTAAGGAAGACTGCAGCCTAACTAATGTAATAGAGATATGAAATAATGCTAGATATAACAAAAAAAATCAAACATTTAATATAGAAAGATTCTATTTATTATTAGTAATTCATTAGCAGTACATTTGTAGTTCATTGTGGAAAACAACAAACCAATTTTGTGTTATTATAGACTGAATGAAACATTTTGCCAAGGACATTCAGGGTATGGACTAAGCAAGCGGGAAGATGAAAGCTCACTTTCAGGTTTGTGTTTCTATTAATGCTTTATAGTCCTTTGAAACAACATTCTTAATATTATAAGATTTAATTGTGGTGGTAACAAGTCGTTTGTTACACCATGCTCTATACAGATCCTTTACTTTTTTTTTTCTAAAAATATGTGCTTCATAATTATTATTTAAGTTAGATAAGGATACTTATAAAACTTCAAGTAAGGAAGACATGTTTTATGGGTTGGTTCCAAAATAAAGCTTTCCAGTACCTCCTTTTTTAAAATTTTGTATAGCAATTTAAACTTCTTGTGGCATCTGGATTCTGAATTGCCCACCATTGTGACTGAATTTGCTCTAGTTTCCAGGCTTTTGGGAGAGTAAATACTATACCTTCATCCCAAAGTTCACACAACACATGGTAGTAACCAAACATGTTGCTCAATACATTATCTGGTTCTCAACTTTATAAAAACCTCTTCTCCATGGTTTCCATACATTCTGTTGATAGAGACAGTCTAATATTTAGCCAAATATTTCTGTATAAAGTAGTTGAAATGCAAATCAGATATATTAATAATATATCTAAAAAAACGCCACCAACAACAAATCAAGAAGGCAGCCCAATATACCAATAGTGAAATTCAAAAACTTGAGGATAAAGAAGGCCCTATTAGCACCCAGTCTGCAAGTCGATGAAATTGAATTTGGGTGGTAATCAGGTGAGCTACAAAGGGATATCACAATTTACAGTATTCAAGTTAGAACCCAAATAAGTGTACTCCAACAAAAAGCTTGGTTTGTTAACCTCAAAAAACAACACTTTGCTGCCAAAAGAACTAACCTATTAATATCATTCAGCCAACAAGATATAGAATTTATGGGGTTTTCTGAACTGTGTTCCTCTTACACAAAATAGAATAATTGTTCATGTTCAGTTAGGTACTACACTTAGCCACTGTACAGTGACAAATAAGTTTCAATGAGCCTTATCTGTTTTGTTTATTTTTATTAAAAGGAAATACTTTTTAGTACGATCTCCATTTTTTTTTAGAAAAGTGTGAAATTCTAGTATTTCAAAGAGGTTTATTTTTTTAATAAATATGGAATGCATTGTTTTTTGAAGGCATCTTTAATATGGTAACCTAATCAGTGATTCTCTCTTGAAAGCACTCATATGAGTGGAGTCTTTATCATTATAAGAGAGTAACATTTGCATGGAGGGTAGTAGTCACAGATGCAACTGGCTATGTAGTTAATCTGTTATCTGTGGAACTATATATATTTATTTTACAGATCAAGAATATGAGACTTGCTAAGTTTATTTCAGTCCATTAAGAGACAGTGGTCCTCAGACTTAATTCTTTTTCTTGGATTTTTTCACTTCATATTGAAAGCACTACTTTTGATTATGTAAAATCAGTGGATAAGTTAATTTGGATCATTATTCATATCTAGTTTATTTCATCTAGTTCATATTTCACGACTCAGTCTCAGCTTAGCTTGTCTGTTAAACCAGCTGCACACTACATTTTAGAAGGGTAGCCTTCATTGCATCTTTGCTAGTACTACATTTAATTACACAGGATGAGGAGGTTAATCTTGGAGATCACATAACTTGACAAACTTTCCATAGGTCCTTCACTGTACACAGATACAGACTTCTAAGACCACATTTAAGTAGACCAAAGCTTCAAAATATCTTGTTAGGTCAAAAGTGATTGTAATGATTCCCGTTTGTTCAGCAATCTTTCTTACTTTAATCAACAGTTGTTGTTTAAAGATGTGGTTTGATGAATTTTTAGCACCTAAGTCTTTGTCACTTTGTAAATCTTGTATGTTATCTTGTTAATAATGCTCAAAAATATGGCCAGCTTTATTGCAGTGATTGTTTTTTTTTTGTATAAAGGTTTCATTTCCTAAACACAGCATTAACTTTGTGGATAAGAGAGTTGGTATAGTGTGGTCTGAGACTCTATTCCTTTCCTAAGTGCTGTGCTTTGCCAATTTTTCTGCTTTTATTAAGAACATTGAAGACACCCCTCTTTTGACTGTATGTTGCTTAACGATCTTGTTATACAAATATTCTACCTTAGAAATGACTGTGATGTAATCTCAAACTAGGAGTCTACCGGTTAAAAATTCCACTGTTAAATTGTTTGAAATTAGCCATGAGCCAACTGATAGACAACTGCCTAGGTCAACAAAATCAATAAAAGTTTTATTATTTTACTTTCAATAGAATATAATATCTCATGCTCATTTTAAACACTTTGCTGTGTCTTGCTGACCTGGATGTGTTCATAGGCACAGATACTGAAAGGTAATATCCTAAATATATAACAAGTGTACAAAATTCCAGAAACTGGGCCTTAAAAAGTATACCTGGTACCTTTGCAACTGAAAAAGGTAAGAAAAATCATGTTTTTCTAAATTCAAACAGTTTGCGAAATAGGCCTGTAGTTACTAGAAGTTGCAACATTGTTTTCACTAATGATAAGGTGCAGATGTTAGTTCCACCAGGGATAGCATTTTGAAATCTTGCCTAGATCAGCATAATACCTAAAGCTGGCCCTAGCATTATAACATACAAATCATTCATATATAATATGATTAAATCAGTTTTGAACTGGACTGTATTTTTCCATATTTGTTTATCTTGATACTTTAAGAATGGCATTGGTTTATTGGACTGACCCTGTATCTGTGAAGCTATAAGTAACACTGTTGACTATAATTTTAGATTTACTAATATGCATATCTTTACAAAATTTGGCAAGCTTTTAGTAAATACTACAATACACAAAATATCAGATCTTTTTGATGAAATATTTTTACTAAGTATTTGTTTGTGAATTTCTAAAGCCTTTGCTGAGTTAGTCTCAGAGATAAGTGATTTCATGCTAATAACAAAAATACTTCTTTTCATCTTACAGTTTTCATAATTCGTTTGCACAACCTTCAGAACCTTCTAAATGAATATCAAAAGTTTTTTTGGGAAAACTTTCTATTTTCTCTTATTGTTGTTGTCAGAATTTTGAATATATATTCTTTTTGTTTTTTGCCAGTTGTCAAAATATAAGGCTTTTACTTATATTTCTTAATAGTATAAATATATACTATGTTGTTGTTGGATTTTTCTACAGTAGGTGTCTGTGACTTGTTGGCAATAAATTCAGTGATACA